AATAAGGTGCACAAGAGGAAGGGTACACGTAGAATGGGAATTCGTTGATCACTACACGTGCATTTGTCGCACCGATTTACCAGTTCTGCAGATGGACTATCTTGACTTATCCCTTTAGGTTTGGCGTGTGTGTCTCAGGTGTCATGATCGAATAACTTATGATAAAAATAAACTGGAATCAGTTTAGTCTGTACGCTAATGATATCCACGATTTCGTAGATCTAGCAACGGACGAAGTAACGAACCAAAACAGAAGGACTGTTATCATGAAACCTCAACGACGGTTGTGCTGGAATGAGCTGAAGAACAGAGAGAGAAGCGTACAGGTAAGTAAGTGTGCAGAAAGGGAAAATCGACGTACCGTGACCGACGAGGTAATCTTGGCCCTGTAAGATGTGAAAGATGGAAAAAGTACGTGTGCGGAAAGGGTTGACACTGTCACTATATGAGTCAGGGTAACGCTAAAAGCGGGACTTAAGGTCAAGAACGGTATAGGTGAATATGAAAAATACTTTAACAAGCCTCAAACAACTTAAAAGCTGCTAGTATTTCCCAAAATGTAAAAACTCACAAATCACGACAAAATTCGAACAACGCGCGGTCGGTTCAGCTTATTTCAGTGAATTCAATGAATTTCCTCAGGATTATCAAGCAAACCAACCGCATATTACTGTGGACAGTGTAATTTTCATCCTTAAGTGTATAAGGAAGTTCAGGATCAGCCTAGCTTGATGTGAAATTTCCGGTATGGTTGCGTTTTGTTTTAACCAATCTAGCATTTCAGCGCAAACAAGATGTCCTGTTCGCTGGTTCTGAACAAGCAGTCTGTCAAGAAGTTGGTTAAGGAATGGCTAGGCAGTGAGGGTGGGATCAATCTAGTTGGTTTTGCACTCAAAGAAGACAAATGTACAGCTGAGTTAAAAATGTGTGCTCCAGGTATGTCACCTTCCGGCTGTTATTTCGGTAGGTGTTTTGGCTGGGTCCCCTTTCATAGATGCTCTGTACGCGGAGCAAGGGTGCACTGTGTTTTGGAACTTTCGTGACGGCGATTCGGTTGATGAGGCAGAATGCACAGTGGCCACTGTAACTGGTGCGATGAATGATATGCTTTCATGCGAACGTCTCGCTCTCTTACTTTTGTCTCGCGCGAGTGGGATCGCTACCCTCGCCCGTCGGTAGGGTCTACTTTGAAAGCGTTCACGCTTTTAGAATGCGCAAAATTTTGGGGGATGTCCCTTGGAAAGGTGATCTTCGTGTCCCCCATAACCTTACCCCTGGGTTTGAGCTTGTTGAGGAGTATGCTATGCTTTTGAGCGGAGTAGTTAGTAACAGCGCTCCTATTTTCGTCCGCCAATCTCATGCTGTTGCTGCTGGAGGCGTCGATAAGGTGGGTTGTTTCATGTACAAATAAAATCCGGCAGGCTATTGAGCGTATTCGATCTAAAGTTGGATTGGGAACAAAAATCGAGATAGAATGTGGATCTCTTACGGAGGCCATGGATGCGGCCGTTGCCGGTGCCAACTTGATCAGTTTCCATGCTCTTCCAGTGAAGGTTTGATTACGTTGCATTCTAATTTTCCCTCAGGAATTGAGTTCTTGCGCCACGCAGCTGAAGAACTCGCACCCACAAGTTCAAGTTCAGTTAAACGCCGACTTTGATGAGGGCAACTTGAAGTCTTACGCCCTATCCAGCGTTGATTTCATCGCTACTCCGAAGCTGTCGAACGGATATTCTTCATTGGACTTTAAGGTAACGTATCTTGACCGCGTGGACGGTGTACCAGAGACCGTTACTGAAATCACAAGACCAGTTCAACCAGTCGGTAAGTCTGTTTCTCTATTGTCACGGATCAAGGTGATCTTCGACCACATTCAACTAGATAGGCTACTGTTTACCATCGTCCTTTTCTTTGTATGCAATTTTATATCAACACCTACAGCTGTTATCGTAGGATTACCTTCATGAGTGATTTTTCCACCTATTGTCACAGCTTACTTGACGCACTTGATACAGTCATGAAATTCTTACCGTGCCCTCGAACCATAACATAAGACAAGGGGGTTTCAGTTTTCTTCAATTCGTTTGAGTGGTAACTAAAATATCAGCTGATGTTTACTAATCTCGTTCACGTAGTCTGATGAAAATGATCACGGTTTGTCCTCAACTCACTTCTGTAATCTCGAATCGGTAGGAATTTGTGTACATGTATACCATTAAGGACTGATCATCATTTTCTTGACTAGTTTATCCACCGTGGTGTTTAGTATCTAAGTATTCTGTTGATGGCCACATGAACATTGAAATGCATTTGTCTCGTGGTAGGGTAGTTCTAACCCCACCCAGCATTGATTATCCATTGATCCATTCAACCACTTGCTAAGGGCTTTTTTGTGATAACCCTGGCGGGTACTCAAGGAGGAATCCTTCAAGCGTGTTCTCATTGACCATTATCAGAAGTTTGAAACACGAAAACCTCTGTCCATCTGTAAAGTAGATAACTTGATTCGGCCAATCGATCGCAACAACATTTTAGCCCTTAATATAAGATTATGTCTTGAACTTTCACGACGTAACCAAGTTTTTTCCTCAAGTGTTGAAACTTCACTGACCCAGTTAATTCTGCCACCAGTCATGGAATCACTATCATCAAGTGCTGTCACCTATGTATCTCAGGTTACTTTGGTTGTTCGAGCACTGCAATCATCTAACTCTTCACATTGACAGCCCTTTGATTGGCCTCTTCTCCCTTCCCAAAATTGTTTGCACAGTCGTGTATTCAATAAAAGAACTGGAGAAACAGGATAAAAACCATCATGTGACCCACTATATCTAGTCGAGTTTCCATCGTGTGGACTGGTTCGTTTGGTTCCATTTTTTGGGTGCTAGATGTTCTGGTAGCCGTCCGCCAACAGCACANCCTAATTGTCACAGCTCATTACTGCAACTATCCCGCTCGGTCTCTTCGTTCCCTCACTGACTGATGAGCATGGGCATGTTTTCTTATGTTTCAAACGAAGGCACTTAGATCCTATTAGCTCATGGGACGCCTGTTACCTTTATCCAGTTTGTTAGCGGAGCGATGCAGTCTCAACTTCCTGCAGTGAACCGGCAACCTCACTGTTTTTATCAAACTCTGGTTTTCCGTTTTCTACCCTTTGAACATGAAGGAGTTCATCTTGNATCTTGATGGTGGATTGAATTCGTTACTACTACCGCTTTTCATGACAGCTACGTATATTAGTTGAGTCTGAATCCAAAAGAGTTATATATCCCACCACTGAAGTGCTCGCGTAACCATTGCAGCTGTTCATTAAACCGATAGTTAATCCCTCCGATTGTTCTCTTTTTCTCTGAGTCCTTACTCAATTTTATTCTCTTGGTTGGTCTAGACTAGTGCATATTCGTTATAATAACGTTACCACCTATTTCCTAATACCGATTCCTAACTTGATTGTTCATCTGGGATTTTAATGTTCACGTCTACACTGCTAGGTATCTACATGGGTCTGGCACTACCGCGCTTTACATATATTCCTAACTGTTTCACTTCTTTTTGAAAGAAAACAGGATGGATGTTGATGTTTTTCAAGGCTATACTACGGATTTACTAACTCTTCTTGTTTTATTCCACCAGCAGGTTCATTAAAATTCTGCACTTTGAACTCCATTGGCCGAGGTGGAACTGCGTTGCGTTTACGTTAACGAAGCCGGGTCCCCGGCGTATAAAATAACGGCTCCGCTCGATCGCATTGACTCTATTTGAGTAGCTAGTCATATTGGTTTGCTTTTGAATTGATGGCAGTTACCTTATCCGTCTGAGTTTCTGTTTGGGTTCACCATTGGCTCCACTCTAATGTTTTGTCTGTTAGCTGACGGGGATATCCGAAGTCATTGTTTGAAAGTTTTTCTGATCTTAATTCTTGGCACTATGGGCGGCACTTACGCGGGTATCTGGTATTGATCTTCATCACATTCTCCCCTGTGCCTTGTGATAACTCCGCACCAATCGCAATCAACCAAACGTTAGTAGTAGGGTTTACTCAAATTTGCTTGCTTCCAATTACTGAAACTGGTGGCTTCACGCACCCCATAATAATAATCAGTTGTGTTTGACAATGACGGTACGGTCATTATTTTAGTGTCACTACTACTTCCCACATAGTTGATGGTTTACTTGGTACCATGGTTTACTTCATCCACCCCTTACCAACCCGGACTGTGTGCCTCCAGTTGAGACGCATTGGCGTATTATTCCACTCACTGGTTTGGCATGTATTATGTCGTTTGTAGAATTCCTTCGGAATGTTGTGTTGCACGCTAGCTCCTTGTAACCATACTTAGATGTGCTTCAAACGCTATGATTATTGGAGAAATGAGCTTTGGATTAATCCCTTAACCATAAAGTTACATATTGAAGGTTGCTCGTCACGGTTTGCTCTTTCACTCGAAACGATTAAAATGCGTTGGCTGAATTTCAGATTATCTGAAGGTCCCCCAAGACACTTGCCTACTGTAGTGCGTTTTCGTTCATATTCTTAGTTGCACACTGGTTCCTTTCAGTGGTTATCCGGACACCTGGGAACTCAGCCGTTCAGACTGGGTAATGTTTTCCACGATTTGCGTAGTCATCAGTGGACTCATACATTCAACTTTAATCATATTTTTTTCGGTCCACTGACTGTTTTCATCGGTTGGCTTAATTTGGGGGTAGTGGCAACTTGTCAGTAGACTTGATGTTGCGCATGCAAGCGGATCTGTGGAGTTTTTGTCACAGGTGTAATGAAGCTTTTCATTTGATAGAATGTCTTCCTATGAAGTTGTATGGCTGCTTTGGGTCTGAAAAGAGTGTACGATATCACTTCGAATTATTTGAGTGTGCTTGTGGATTCTGCCCGAATTGACAGTTTCTCGTTGGCACTTTTCACACTATTGTGCTTTGAATTTTTCCAAAATGAGTGCTGCAGTTGCCACTTTCTTCAACGGAAAGTAATTAACTTCGTTGTCTGCCGCAGTCAGTTATTGTACAGCGTGCCTGGGTCGGATACTGATCATTCTTAAATGAGATTAGATTCCTGGGATCCATACGTTTTTCGTTGGTCAGTTAACTATGGAAGCTACAGTGAAAATATGAATAAATGCAAAGGATTCGGGAGTTTCAAAGACCTTTATTTTGTCTCTTTTGGGCATTTTTATATCACCATCTTGGTTTAAATGGAAGGGGGGGGGG